AACTGCTTAGAAAGTTACGAACCGGTTCTCCCGAATAGGTGCGAACCGGCTGAATCCCATCACTGGTGTAATAGTGATAGCTTGTGAAGAATAAGAGGCAGGATGGTCAATCAAAGGACAGCAATGGACAGGCTTGGAGAAGAGGGATTCGGGAAGTGCAAGTTGGAAGACGAGGTCTGAGGAGCTTCAGGCTGTAAGACTGGTAATATTTCTCCTGTTAGGAAGACAGGTGAGGAATAATGTGAAGATAGTTAGGCTAATCCTGGTGGGATAAAAGCAATTTGTGGTAACGAGTGAATCTGGATCAAAATCATTTTATAAAGTTATTTAATAAAAACTCCTTTGTTCCAGTTAACCATGGATCTCTGCCATCCTATAGTAAATTTTCTCCATTTGATAGTATCACCTTACAGGTTTGAAGAATTTACAGAGCAGTGGGAAAAGAAGGTAACAATAGAAAAGACTCCCATAACAAGCAGATTGTGGGACACAACCTGGTTTGCAGTTTGGCACTACTTTTCAACAGAACACTGACCTGAATTGAGCAGGGCATGGTATGAATTCAGAGAAACAAGGACCCTTCATTTCAACCCTGAAATAGTCTCCTTCATTGGAATTCTGAGAAATCTGAAAAACAGTGGGTGAATTAAACTTACACATTTAATGGCATGGATACTGGGCTAGACACCAAATCTCTCTTGTGTTCCACTCTTCTTCCTTTCCTTTCCAATTCTTAAAAAAAAAAACTTTTGACATTAGGCAAAGCACAAACTCTTGGCATCCCCCGTGTGACTGTGACTATTTCTTTCTGTACATCCGAATTCGCTGTTCTGAAGATCAGAACTTGATTGGTCTGGGGTTTAAAGCAAAAACCCTAAAATCAATTCAACATTTGTTTATATAAGCGGTTTCTCTGTCTCTACTTCTAAATAATTTGCAAATGTTTCAAGGAAATAAGATCTGGAAGACACCGTGAATGTCTTTCAGGGTTAGATTATTGTAACACATGGAGGTAAGACGTCATTTTGTGGTAGGAGTGGAAATGTTCCCTGTTAAGTATAATCCAGCATTTTTCGAGAAGCGACTTTGCTAGAAGAATTCAAAGTGCCCTTCTTTAGAAAAATAAAGATGAAACTCTCAGAAAATACCAGAACACACAAATTGGAAGTTGCCATCATTGCACAAAGCCACAATGCCCTTCTCTTGACGGTAGAAATAAGTAATAATAGAACTATGGACAATAAAAGCATTAGGTTTTTTTTATTAAACAGATTACTTCAAAAGGTATTTATCATTTGAATCATTACATATGCAGATTTATAGAACATGTAAGATTTAAGATGCACGATCCATCCTCTAGTGTTCTTTATTGTGGCTTCTATTCATGTTCGATTGCAGCTAGGTTTATACCAGAGGTGAAATGCTACCAGTTTGGACCGGTTCACTGGAACCGGTAATAAAACTGCTATTGGTTCACCTGAACCGTAAAGTAAAAAAAAAGTTTTAAAAAGTTTTTTTTTAAAGTTCTGACGATCGCTCATCAGAACATTTAAAAAACTTTTTAAAGCATTTTTTAACTACCGGTTCAAAAATGCTAAAAAAAAGTTTAAGAAAAAAGTTCCCACAATCAGCTAGCGATGATCAGCTGTGCTGCGCGATCGTCAGAACTCTTTTTTAACATTTTTTAACTACCGGTTTGGGAGAAGCTAGTAATTTTGTTATTCGATAAATATGAAAAAAATATTTCTATTTAAATGCCCCAAGTCCAGGTTTGTTTCCGACAATCTTCCCCTTAAGTTTAAAGCTTTGTATCTGTTAAGCTTGGATTGAGTTCAAATTTAAAAGACAATAACTATAAGCATTCTATCTTGTAAGTCAGTTTCAGTCATTCAAATCCTAGTTAATTTTAAAGGACTGGTTTTAAAGGATAAGGAATCACATTTCTTTTGGGACATTTGCATGAGGGATACTTCACTTTTTTCCTGCAGAATCCTTGGCTTTCCTGATCAGCCTGTACATAAATGAGAAGAAAAAAAGCAAATTGTCGTATTGTCCATCATATTTTTCTTTTAAGACCTCCTTGTGATAGTCCACTAGAAAATAATAAATTGCTTCAATGGTAGAGAGGTAAGTTTCTGGTTTTCCTTTCTGATGGCGCCAAAAGCAGGTTTTCTTAGATTTCAGCTCAATCTGTAGCAACCCTGCAGAGTGAAGAAAACTAAAGATGACAATGTAGGCATTTAATTACACAAAAGACTGAAAGAACTATTTGTAGCAAACAGGTTTCTCCAAAGCATTACAAACAAGGATAAGCCTGATTAAGATATATGTAGGCAGATTTATACGGTAATTTCCATTTATATTTTCTAAGTGTGGCTAGATAAGTCATCTCTTTTTCTCTAAAACCCTTTCTTTCCTGGAATGCAGCATTATCTGACTGGAGTCCAAAAATGTTTATTATACAGTGTTGCAGTGCACTAGTTTTAGAAAGGCAAAACTTTTGGAAGAAAAATAAAAGTAGAGAGGAGCCATTTATTCCTGATAAGAGCTCTCCATTATACCTAGAACAATTCCCAAGATTCATTTCCATTCATAAAAATAATACCTTGAAGCCGCTCATCTGTGATTATTTTGTTTGTCTGATTCCATGTACTGTCGATAAATATAATTTTTTTCAGTGCATTTTCGCTCTTGGGCAATTTATCTTCACTCATGATTCTACTGTGGCTTGGCTCCAATTTTGCACACTTGGGTGCTGGTACTGCTGAGAAGCCCTCAGTGTCCGTCTTACATTTTGCTTGCAAAGAGAGAGGAATGTTGCTTATTGAAACTGAATTAGGTCCAGGAAAAATAAGTGCAATCTAAAAATGGGGCGAAAAAACCTTCATGAGATCTAGCTTAACCTCAGCCACAAGGCAACTCTTATTTTTTCCTAATCTATTTTAAAATTGTGCTTCCACCATTATTTCTAAAAATACACTCTGCCTAACATTTACCAACAACATTGTTTAAACAAATATGAGTAAATGTTAAAATCCTGCAAAACTTTTATTTCATCAAATATAGGCTGAAGTGCTGATCCACCCTCTTAGGAATATTCCCCTCTTGTCATTTTGGCTTTAGGCCATCTGTACAGGTAGTCCTCTCTTACTGACCGCAATCGGAACCAGTAACTCCCATCACTAAGGGAGTCATCAAATGCAACATCCCATGACTGCGACTAGTGACTTCCTTCTGGCTTCCCCATTGATTTTGCTTGTTGGAAGCTGCCTATGAAAGTTGCAAATGGCAATTGCACAACCATGTGGCGCTGTGGCTGTTGTAGATGGGTGCTGACCCCAGAGACAGGGCAAGACAGGAACGCTGACAGCCGCAACTTTCGAGGACCAGTTGTAAGTCACATTTTTCAGCAGCTTCGTAACTTTCAATGGTTGCTGAACAGATGCTTCGTAAGCAAGGACAACCTGTACTCTCAGGGAAATGCTTGCAAAAATGGTTGCAGCTCTAAAAACAAGCCAAGAAGTGGAACTCACTTCTGTGGATACAACTAAGTAATAAGTCCTACTACATGAATTCCTAGACAAATACACTGCTTATTTGCTCTGGTGCAAAACAATGCTAAACACAGAGTATATTTAACAGCAGCAATCATGGCAGTGAGAAACAAATGGTTTTCCTATGATGCTACATATAGACAGACTCTTACTTCATGCTGGATCTCTTCATAGTCAGGAATACACGGATAGGTATAAACGGTAACATCTTCAGATGCTAGAAGCTTGGCGTGTACAGCTGTACTTTTGCCATCGGTTTCATTGGGATGCTTGATTATATCAATCTTCAAGGGAAGCTTAAAGAACCCAAAAAGTGCATCAAAAAGACACCCTCCAAATTCAACCATAAATATATACATTTGCCCAACCATGCATTCCACTCTGGATATCAGAGTATAACACATGATTTGCACCAGTTACAATTGCAATTTTCTGCAAAATAATCAATGGGAAACAACAAAAATACCATGTAATTGAATAATAGAGTTAAAAAGAAGCTACTATTTGAATGACTTAAATCAAAGGCTGCCTTTGGGGCAAGTCTGGGTAGACATATTTTCCATCATCTACAGCAAGGGGAGGCAACTATGGCCTCTTTATGACCTGTGGACTTCAACTCCCAGAATTCCTCCGCCAGCATGTTGTAAATGTGGGCTGACCCCAGGGATGTTGCAATAGCCGCAACTTGATAAATCCTGAAAACCATGGCTGGTTCAGGAATTCTGGGAGTTGAAGTCCACAGGTCATAAAGGGGCCATAGTTCCCTAAGTGTTCTACAGAGATGCCAATGTTTGGGCAGAAATACGAGTGGCACTGGGCTACTGTGATTTGCTTTACTTTCACTACAGCAGCTTTATGGTTATGGCATTTAGTATGAAGTTTTTGGCATAAAAGACAAGATTAGGTTAAACTCCACCTTTATCTATTTCATCTATTAGAATGACTTGCTGGGAAATTTCATATAAAATGACCAAAGAACACTGTGACACCACCACCCCCCTTCAGATCACCTGCACTAACCTTCACAATAGGAATATCTTCAACAGGAACAGTTTCAACTGGAACATAACATGAATAACAGTAGAACATCCTTGATCCGTGACATCTGGGACATTTTGATCTTCCTTGTTTTTGGGCTCTCTCAAGAATAGCTTGGGATGTCAGACATAAGTTGTCAAATGGGGTCCCTTGTAACAGGGATGCAGCCAGTATATCTTGATTTTGCAAACACTCAGCATTTCTTTTCATTTCCTGGTTTATCTTGGTCTGCTTTTTTAAATGGGAGATGAATTTAATGATATATTTCAGATGAATGATATCCTTGGAACTGTTAAAGATAAATAATGCAAGAATAGTTTTCAAGTATAATTTCAGATAAGTATTCTTAGAGAGAATAGAAATCTTGATGAATGAGATTAACTCAAACTAGGGAACACTATTCTCCAGCAGCCCTGAACATAGAGTTGGTGGGCTGAAATTTAAAGTGTGTGAGTGTGTGTGTCTGAGGGGGAGACAGACACACAGAGATCCTAAACAACAGAGACCTGCAGGTAGAAGCTTGATCTTTTGCCAACATGTCTGGATCTAATCCAAGGACTGCACAATTGATGTTTTCTCCACCTCTGCTCTAGGTTAAGTGGTATAAGTGGTAAGGTATAAGAATCAATCTAATGTGAAGCTTTACAGTATAAAGTTCAGTTTTTTTTAATGTTTCGTATTGCAGGATCTTAGTAATACTATTCATTAATAGAGACTTAACTTGTATGACAAGTGTTGATTATTTATTTAACATGTTTTACTATATTAAGAATACATAGAATATAATGACAGCCATGTTTTTGGCTGCAAACACAGACCATGGAGTAAACAGTTCATTTCCTTGATTCACCTGCCAACCTTTTGCAGTTTATAAAATAACCATTACTTCTAAAATGATACCTATTAAAGGGATAATAGCAAAAATGTATTTGTGGCTATTGTGTAACAAGCCCCATTTCTGTTTTTGCAGTATCAGCTCTTTCCTCCCTGGAGTGAGACTATTCTGAGTTTGCTGGAGAAAGCTTGGCAGGTAAGTGAAGAAAGTTGCTTATGTTTGGACAAAATTTTCTAACCACAGAGATTCCTTAGTTCAAGAGCAGGAAATTAATTAATCTGTTATGCATTCCTGACCAACAGATCAACCCACCTTATATTAAACAACTTGTGGCAGCTTTCCTTATCACCACGGGGGAAAATGCTGCTGACAGAGAAAGGGATAAATTTCACCTATGTTTTCCAGAACCATAAAAATCTAACAAATAAGAATGTCCTGTGCACTTTGCTAACTGGAAGACATGCTTTATACAACTGAATAGTTCGACCCAAGTATAAATCAATCCTACTTCTAGAGAAAACCACATTTAAATCTCACTTGACCACTCAGCTAAACTGAACACTCTTTGCCGCTCAATGGAATTTCACATTGCTTTTTCACTATAGTTTGCTTTAAACATAAGTTATTGACTGCCCTAGGCTACCCTACGTGGGCTGCCAAAATCCTGACAACTGATTTAGCAACAAAGATTTAGTGCTTTGTTAGATAGCGCTAAACTCCAATTGGCTGAGTTCATTAACATCCTTTGCCCCCAAACCATGACCTGCATGCTACCACGATTGGATTCCCATCAGATATTTTGCTTAGCACAACCAGCGAAGCCAATTATATCAGTCTCAGTGACCTCAAAAAAGATATAAACATTATGTGGAAAGAGCGCTGTGCTTCTGTTGGAAATAGTTATATATAACTTAATAGATTGCTGTAACATCTAGGTCAGTGTTCCTCAGTTCATGTGTGAACTTCAAATCTCAGAATTCCCCAGCTAGCAGGGATAGACTTCAATTCACAACTCCATTTCAACATCATGTTGTTAGTTGCGAAGTCCTGTCCGACCCATGGCGACCCCATGGACAACATTCTTGTTTTTTACCATCCTCTGGAGTCCATTTAAGCTCACACCTACTGTTTCGGTGACTCCATCCAACCACCTCATTTTCTGTTGTCCCCTTCTTCTTTTGCCCTCAGTCTTTCCCATCAGGTGGCCAAAGTATTTGAGTTTCCTCTTCAAGATCTGGCCTTCTAAAGAGCAGTCAGGGTTGATCTCCTCTAGGACTGACCAGTTTGATCTTTGATCTCCATGCAGTCCAAGGGACTTGCAGGAGTCTTCTCCAGCACCAGAGTTCAAAGGCCTCAATTCTTTGGCACTTATGGTCCAACTTTCACAGCCATATTGTGATGGATTCAACATGATGATGGGGAATTCTGGCAGTTGGGAAACTCTGATAGAGGCAGCCTATTTGACTCAGTGGTTCTATGGGAAAATCATTTCTCACCCCACCAACAAATTTTTAACCCAGGTTGGGTTTAGTCCTCAAAAAAGTCACCAAACCTCTGCAACAAACCAGCACAGCTCTTCTTCTGGACAATCATGCAGGTTAAGCGTAGGAACCACCACTACCTACCACCTCGCACCTCTCCAAACACTACTCCCCTGGGAGTTGGCAGCAACTTCTGGAGCGCCACAGAGACCCCCACAACTGTTTTTTGCAACTTAGTAACCCATGCACAGGGAGGGATCCGGAGCTGGGGGTGGCTGCCACTGCCTCCCCATCTCTCTCCCCGAGCCCAAGACCACTTCTCGCGCCCATCCATGCCAACAAAGGAAACCCACCGCCAAAGCAATGCCCAGGGACTCCTCTCGGCGTTGGGAGCGGGTGGGAGATTTATTGCAAGCACGCCTCCCACGAGTGGACGCAAAACCGAGCCTCGCCGAAAGATCGCGTGTCTTCTCCCTCCTCTAGGACAGTCGCGTCGCGCGCGCGGTGGAACTCCAGCCCCGGGGGTGGAGGGGGCAGGCCGGAAGGATCGAACATGACGGACCGCGGGGGGCGGAGCCAGGCGGTTGCTAGGGCGCCTTAGTAACGGCAAGAGAAGGTCCGTTGGAAGGGCGGGGCGTTCTGCTGCTGCTGCTGCTCTTGCTGCAGCCGCAGGAAGCTCTTGGGCCTGGCGAGGGCGAGGTGCAGCCGCCTTGCTTGGGAATGGGCGAGCGGGGTCGCACCCTGACCCTTTCTACCTACAGGCATTCTTTTATCGAGGTCGGCGGCTGAAATCCGAGGCTGCCCTGGGCGGGCAACACGTGTGTGGGGCTCTCGAAAGAGACTGGAAGGACATTTAGAACCTACCTCTATCTATCTATCTATCTATCTATCTATCTATCTATCTATCTATCTATCTATCTATCTATCTATCTATCTATCTATCTATCTATCTANATAAGGCCACAGATGGATGATGAATGGCCCCTCCCAGAGGAAATAAAAGAGGAGCAAAAGGGGAGTGGAGTTTGCAGGAGACAATTAGTTTGCTTAATTGGTTCGTGACTCTCTGAGACTCCTTGCCAAGTTTTGCAGATATCGGCCTGGCAGCTCTCCAAGCCAGATAAGGTCTGTGACTGTAAATCCTCCCTTGAAAGACTTTGCTGTATGTGAATGAGCAGAATTCAGAGTCAATTAATAAAAGGGTTTTTTGTTGGGACAAGGAGTTTGCTTCATGCTCTTGGGAAGCCTCGGTCAGAACACTTTGTCCCCAAGTACGAAAATGTTGCCTTCATTGCAGTGCAGACTATTGTTTTGATGTCATCAAATCTTCCAGTTGACACAAGGTACAGTTTCTTGGGAGGAAAGAATTATTCTAGCATCTAAGGGACAGCACAACAGAGAGTTCACTGGCACTGCAGAGTCAACAGTCATGTTGGCTGGGAAATGATGAGAGCTGAACTCAAAAGACCTCAGAAAAACACCCAGTGGGGAAGTAAGATGAGGATGTCCTGCTATCTGTTGCTGGAGAATCTGGAAAGCTCTCTAGGTTTGCCAATATAAATAAGATTTTTGCATTCAACAGCAGTGCATTCTGATCCAGCTGGGCCCTGCTTATGTCCTTATGACTATATGGTGGTTGCCTTTTGCTAAGCAGTAGAATCTGAAATATTGTCTTTTTAGAATTTCAGCAATGAGGAAGAATTCAGGGGAGAGAATAGGCTTAGTCATGAAAAATGATTGATGGGGAATAGGAGAGCATTGTTCAAATATCAGAGAGAGGGGTGGAAGGAGGTGAAGACCTGTTCTTTATCATTCCAGTGGGCAGGACATAAAACAATATAGTTAAATTACAGGAAGGCAGGTTCAGGTTGAATATTAGGGGGGGGGGTTTGGGGGAAATCCAGTATAAATTCCTAATGGTAAGAGCAGTTCAACAACACTGGAACAAATTACCAGTGTCATCTGCTTGGAATGATTTAATTGACATTAATTTAATTCAATTTAATTTAATTCCTGCTCTGGCAGGAGTTTGGGCTCACCCTAATGGTCTCTTCCAACTTTACAATTTTATAATATTATATGTGAAATTTCTATTTCATTCTTACCCTGATGAAAAATCGACACTTCTGTTAAAAAAGTCTGCATATCCTTGCAGTGGTGTTGGGTGTAAACCACATTTAAAGATTTAACCAATTTGCATACTGTAGGCTATGTTTTTAACCAGCTTTTTTGAGTGAAGGCAAGAAATAGTTGAACTCACTCTCATTGTGTCATTCGGTTTCTCCACCAGGTCATTGTCATGAAGCGCACCCTTGGAGTCGGATACGCTGCTGTCGACAATCCCATTTTTTATAAACCAAACACTTCAATGTTACTTGGAGATGCAAAGAAAACCTGTGATGCTTTACAAGCCAAAATTCGAGATTCTTTTAGCCATTAGTGCTTCCGGTCATTCTAAGGCATCATCCAGTGATAAAGTGTTGTTATGTACCTTTTAATTTGATTGTGTTTATTGAAGAGCCTGGAATCCATGGAATGTCTAACTGGCTGATGCCCATTGTCTGTATCCTTTGAAAATGGACTTATCTCTTGTGTATATACATTGTCAGAAAGATAAATAGAAGAACCTAATTCATATGAGAAATGAGTGGTTTCTGTGTCTTTATATGGGTGTCCATCCATCCATCCATCCATCCATCCATCCATCCATCCATCCATCCATCACTTGTTTCTCTTAACATTGCTATGACATTTTTAACCTGTACAATAAAAGAGACAAGTAATCATTTCTGGGCCAGATGTAATCCTCTAGAGAGGACGTTCCATCATCAAAGAGAAGGATATTGTGGAGATGGCTATGGATCTAGAGAGTTTGACTTGCCTGCTCTAGGGTGTACTACAGTGGTGTGATTCAAATAATTTAAGAACCGGTTCTCTGCCATAATGACCAGCTGGGTAGGCATAGCTCGGTGGTCATGTGACAATGTGGCTGTGGCCAACTCACATCAATGGGCCTTAGCTGTTACAATGTGATAAGGGTTAACCGGAGAGGCAGTTTCTGTAAGCAGGGCAATAATCATGAGGTTAGAAACAACACCAGAATTTTTCCTTCCTGCCTTCTTTACAGAATTAGCCCTGTAAAGTGGGAAAAAAATAAAATTTCTTCCAACAACTGGTTCTCCGAACTGCTTAGAAAGTTACGAACCGGTTCTCCCGAATAGGTGCGAACCGGCTGAATCCCATCACTGGTGTAATAGTGATAGCTTGTGAAGAATAAGAGGCAGGATGGTCAATCAAAGGACAGCAATGGACAGGCTTGGAGAAGAGGGATTCGGGAAGTGCAAGTTGGAAGACGAGGTCTGAGGAGCTTCAGGCTGTAAGACTGGTAATATTTCTCCTGTTAGGAAGACAGGTGA